AAGCACCAATGGTTCCATTCATGTTAAGATTGTTATAATTTTTAATACCCTTTCAGGGAAAGGTTTGGTTAGCCCTTCAACATTTTTGTAATCAGGAGCCTCCACCTGAGTCCTGATGCTAAAATGCATCCCTGTCTTCATCATGCAAGTTTGACTTCAAATGTATCAAGATAATGCTACGGAATGTCAAGGAAGCGCAACACACTCCAGGGATAAATCTAATCAGACAGACCAAATGAACCAGATGAAACAGGAAAATGAGAGGAGAAGAAAAAAAAAAGGAAAGCAAAATAGCTTTGACAAGAAAAAAGATGTTTGTCCTGGAAGTAGAAAAGGCAATTTATTGCATTTCTTAGTCCAAAAGAGTTTTAGAATTGAATTTGAAGACTGCAGTCTTAATATGGAATGGGCAGGGAGAAGAATCCCAAGGTTACAATGTTTTTTTTCTGAGGGAATTTTCCCTTTAAGAATGGAAAGAAGAGAAGGTCTTATCATCACTGGATAATGTCACCAATATTTTGAGGGGCTGCCCCAAAGAAGAGGGTGTTAACCTATGTTCGAAAGCATCAGCGAGCAAGACAAGAAGCAATGGTTGGAAACTAACCAAGGAGAGACGCAACCTAAAACTATGGAGACATTTCCCATCAGTTAGACCAATTAATCCAGGGGTCTTCAAACTTGACAGCTTTAAGACTTGTGGACTTCAACTCCCAGAATTCCTCCTCCAGTCATGTTAGCTCAGGAATTCTGGGAGTTGAAGTCCACAAGTCTTAAAACTTGCCAAGTTTGAAGACCCTTGAATTAATCAGTGGAACAATTTGCTTCCAGAAGTTGACGGGTGCTCCATCACTGGAGGCTTTTAAGAAGAGGCTGGACATTCACCTGGAATGGCATAGAGGTCTCTGGCTTGAGCAGCAGGTTGGACTAGATCTTCAAAGTCCCTTCCAACTCTGTTATTCAATTATTTTTCCTACTCATGCTGAAAACCTGAAAACCAGCCTTATTTCCCTGATAATCTCTCTCTGACATAAGGAGTGAGGGAAAGGGGAAGGAACATTTCCTGGCATTCCAGAAGAACTCTCGGAAAGGCTTCCAGAAGATAGATCTCCTCCCATTGGCATCAACCTGAATACATTCCTCTTCTTTTTGCTTTTCCTCCTCCATTTTTGAGAAACTGGTAGGTTTGGCAACTGGGAGAAACTGGCATCCAGAGGCCTTCCCTGCTTGAAGTTAGACATGGGAGATTTAAGTCTCTCCTATCATGGTTAGTGGAGATATTCTACTGGTTTGGCCGAACCGGGAGCTCCAACGATCAGCTGCTGGGCCCTCTCACCTGCTATGCTGACCTTTATTTCCTGCTTTTCAACCTCAGCTGCTTTGCGCGGCACAGCCAATTGCCACGCGTCGGCTGTTTTACACACAGGGCTTGCAGCAGAAGGTGAGCTGCAAATGCTACATGTGGGCAAAGTGCACGCTCACACCGAACCAGTAGGAAAACTTTTTGAAACCCACCACCGACAATGGCCAATCGATTAAGTACCATATCATACTCACAGGACATTTGTTGGATTCGTTAGAGATAGACTGTAGGAATGGCATGGTGGCCTAATGGCGGAGATGCTTGCCTTCCACTTGAAAGGTTGATAATTCAATCCTACCAGTAGCAGCAGGTCTTTCTCTCCTGGGGTGTAAAGAAAAATAATAATTTGCTGCTAACTCTGCACTGGCACCAGGAAGGGAATCCAGCACCAAATGCTCAGCTCCATCCAGTCATCACTCTACCCCCAGAATTCTGGGAGTTGAAGTCCTCCAGGCTTAAAGTTGCCAAGGTTGGACACCCCTGTTATAGATTGTAAAATACTAAAAGCCTCTTGGTCTTTGCAGAATGTGGGTATGAGACAGGGAGAGAGGGAGAGGGAGGGACGGAGGGAGGGAAGGGGAGAGAGGGAGACGGAGGGGGAGGAGTGCAACCCCAGCAGCGAACTAAAGATGGCAGAATTTAAACTTTGGAGTTCAATCAGGAAAATCATGCTGCTGCTACTGGGTATGTCTCCAATCTTATATTAATCCCAACTTCGAAGCAAATATATACAATTTCTTTACAGGTAGTCCTTGATTTAACAATCATTTGCTTAACCACTGCTCAGAGTTATAATAGCCCTGAAAAAAAAAAAGACTTATCTTCAACGGATCCTCATTCTTACGACCTTCGCAGCATTCTCACAACCATGACCTGGATGACTGAGAACCTCTACAGATTTTTAGCCATACAATTTGGGGTGAACACCCTTTGAATGGTGTGGCAGTAGGAATGGATTTCCAGAGGAAAAATTGCAGACTACAGGAACCAGGAGCACTACTCAGGTGACCCCGAGGACACAGATAAATCTCTCCAAGTGCTTCAACTACCCTCTAAAAGGATGCAAATGACCAGCTGTCTGCAAGAAATATAAATCCTTCCATTCCCCACCATCCAATCAGGGGTGAAGAATCTTCTTGGATGAGAAGTGAAATGTCTTCAAAGAAAAACCAGAAAGTCCAGTTGCCTCCTGAAAAATAACACCTTTGGGTCTTCCTTCTCCTATAAAAATAAAATATCCTGGGAAATATTAAAAAGGCAGAATATTTCCCCTAAAAAGAGTAGAAACTCAGAAGCAGAAACTCACCTCAGAGAGGCAGAAACTCAGCCACCCCACCTTTGCTAGTGGGCTTAGGCCAGAGTACTCTACATAATAAACCACCTGGCCTGGGAAGATTGTATCAGCCAGAACTCAGGTGAAGCCATGTGGTCCAGACAAAGCCTACAAAGTTAGCTAAGACCCCGCCCCTGGGAGTCTGATAGCCAATGGGATACATTTCTTGCACAGGAACAGGAAACACTAAGATGGGGCCCAACAGAGGGTATATAAGGGACTCTCCGCATCTTGGCCTGCCTTTCTTTCCCTTCACCCAACATTTGGAAGCATGTGACCATCCTTCCTTCTTTGGAGCTCCAAGCCATGTGGTCCTGTCCACCATTAAACCATCTTTCCAAACAGCCTCCATGTTTCCAGTGTCTTTTTCCCCACTTGGAACTGAACCAAGAAGGATAATTCTTCCAACACTTCTTCTGGAACTAAAATAAAACAAATTTCCCTTCTAAAATGGTGCTTTTATCTCAAATCAATGCTCAGCGGGGAGTGAAGGAGAAATGGTGAATTATGAGAAGAGTCCCAACTATTCTTAGTGTTATCTTTCCCTCCAGATGCTTTCTGAGTTCTGGTGGGGAAGAGGAGAGATGCTACTTGCTTGTTTGGAGCCCTAAGTTAATAACATCTTGTAACATTGGAGCAGTCATGACCTGCCAAACTGAAGAAATTGTCAGTTGCAGCACTAAATTAGGGTGGTTAAAAGTTGCTGCAATGAGGGGCAACAGAAGAAAACTTTCCACAATTTACTGGTATTCTAATTTCTTCACTGTGTTAATCTGATTGCTACATGAATCATTTCTCATTTTGACAAATAATATTCATCAACCCCAGTCACACTCCGTAAAAATGCCATTTAAAAGCTTTAATTTCCATCTGATTTTTTATTTTATTTTAAACCACAGGGAAGGTACATGTTCCTGGTAACAGCTACTCCTACTATTTCTGATTAACAACTCTTTTGCAAGAACTGGGAAAATTAAATGTCTATAACTGATTGCTATTGTGGAACTGTTCCATTTAATCTAAAAAAACAACAGGTAGGAGAGATCTGATGTAATGCAAGTTGCTGAAGCTTAGCTGAAATCCATTAAGTCCAGAGTGGGGTAATAAAAATGTCATTTAAACACAGCAGTTTGACTTTAAACCCCACACTTCACAAATGTTTTTGTTCTTTCATTCCCTCATCTGAACAGGACACAGAACAGAACACAGCTCAACAAATCTTGGTTAGGATGTGCTTAGGCAGATAAGAAGCAAGTAAATTGATTCAGAGCAGGGGAGGAGTTTTGATGACTCCTCTCCAGTCAAAACCCAACATAAAAAGGGGTGGGGTTTTGGTCTCAGGGATACAGGCACCATCTTGGCTTTTTTTTGATGCTCTCTCCAATACCCTAAAGAGGGGACTAGTTTTAGCCACCCATGCCCATTTGATGTCCTGGGAGACACCCCTTTCTGACCCAGTGGTTGCATCCCCTTCCTTCTTTCATGGCCTGGTTCATGGGTGGGATTCTGCTGGTTCGGACTGGCTCGGGCGAACCCCTTGCTCCAAAGATCAGCTGTCTCTGAACCTGTTCGCTGCGATGATCATGTGGGCCTATTCGCCTGCCCCTGTGTTTTACTGACCTTTATTGTCCCAGCTGATTAGCGAAGAAGAGCGGATTGCCACTCCTCAGCTGTGTTACTCCCCTGAAGTAGGTAAGGATTTTTGCATTGTGTTGACATGAAACGCATGATCACCGAACCGGTTGTTATACCGGCAGCATCCCACCTCTGGGCTGGTTGCATCTTAGATTCAGCCTCCAGGATGGACTTTGCAGGGTTCCAGTCACACATCTGGAGGCTAAAACATATAAAGAATGGTTGCTGGAATTGGGTACGTGCAGTTTAATGAAAAGAAGAACTAGGAGTGACATGATAGCAGGGGTCCAGTATTTGAGGGGCTGCCACAAAGAAGAGGGAGTCAAGCTATTCTCCAAAGCACCGGAAGGCAGGACAGGAAGACATGGATGGAAACCAATCAAGGAGAGAAGCAATGTGGAACTAAGGAGAAATTTCTTGACAGAACAATTAATCAGTGGAACGACTTGTCTCCAGAAGTTGTGGGTGTTTCAATACCAGAGGTTTTCAAGAAGACATTGGGCAACCATTTGTCTGAAATGGTATAGGGTTTTCTGCCTGACCAAAGGGTTGGACTAGAACAGGGATGTCAAACTCAAGGCCCGCAAGCTGGATTCAGCCCGGGATGTGGTTGGATCCTGCCTGCATGGCTGTCCCTGTCTACCCGCATTTCCTCGGCCTAGTCTACTCACACTGCTTCAACCCGGTCTACTCATGTCGTTTCAGCCAGGTCTACCCAATGCAGAGAGGAAAGATCAAGCCAGCAAAGCTTCAGCCTGGTCTACCTGGTGCGAAAAGGAAAGATCAGGCTAACGTAGCTGTCAGGACTCCAACAAATCCACCCCCATTCAATACTCTTTTGGTCTTTTTAGCTGCCAGTAGCTTTGGCCCAGTCTTGTTCTGACCCAAGCCCTTTTCCAACAAATCGAACTCAATCCAAAGGGAACAGAAACCTTATAATGCTATTGCAAAATAATTAGCTGTAATAAGCACAAACCTTGCCAAACTGTGCGAGACTTGCCAAAAGATAACAGACAAGAAATAAGTTGCAATACAAGAATCTTCAAATATAAACTCAGGATACTGGAATGTCCACGAGGCTGGAGTTTCAAAACATCTTTGCCTTCTGCAAAGTATGTTCATTTCACAGCTGGCTTTTATCTTCTTGAAGGAGGGGCCATTACCTTTTCAGCCTTATTCCTGAGTCGCTTGTGCTGTTGTAATTGTTCTTTCCTCCGAGCAATCCTGCGCGCACGCACACTTGGCACAGGCTCCTCAGGAACCTCCTCATCGCTTCTGCCAGCCCCCACAATCTCTGAAGGCAGCAGTCCACTCCCTAATGGTCCTGGCCCCTCATCTGAGTCCTCGCTCTCCTCAGCCATCTGCACCTGCTGCCAGCGAACCACAACAGGTCTACCCAATTAGGCCAGTGTGGCTTCAGCCTGGTCTACTCAATGCGAAGAGGGAACATGCCAGAAGTTTGTGGAGTGGAGTCAAGCTGGCAATGCCCACCTAGTCAGCCACACCCACTAGCCCCCCGAGGGCAACCACAGCCCTGATGTGGCCCTCAATAAAATTGACACCCCTGGAGTAGAAGATCGCCAAGATCCCTTCCAACTCTGTTATTCTGTTATCCCAGGCCAGCTGCTTTATTGGGGCCTTCCTTCACATGTTCTGAAGCATGTTTGGGAGAAGAAATTGAAGTGCTCTTCAGCCTTGTCACTTTCCAGCAGTTGGCATGAATCCTTTTTGCTTCTGACAGCTAAGCTCACTGATATTATTTGGGTGTTGTGCTCCTGTTGTTTCAGAAGCTGAGAGCCTTCCCTACCAAAAATGCAATTTTCCATGATGCCAGGCTGTTCAGATTGGGATCAGCTGTTGTGTCAGAGTCTCTTTGCCTTTAAACTGGTAATTTCCTCCCTGCAGCCCTTGCCATGCGCTGGTGCATGGCTTTGAGGGACCTGAGTGACACTAATGAGGTGGGAATACCTGCAGGAAGTCCATCGATGTGCTTTGACAACACGATAATTGGAGAATTACACACTGAACATGAGCTCTGCCATGGCTCTTGTCAAATCTGACAAGCTTCTTCTGAGTGGCTTATTTATTTATATTGCTCCAAAGCAACCAGGATTCCATTTATCTGCCAAGTTCTCTTTGCACTGAAAATTTTAATTCAGGCCAAAGATAGCAAGAGCAAGAGCACTTAGACCCAAAGGTGCTTTTGCCTTCTCTTTTTCCCAAGAGGCAACTGGACTAGTTCTTGTTGTTGTTTTTTTGAAGAGGTTTTGCTTCTCATCCAAGAAGCTTCCTCAGAGCTGAAGAAACTTCCTGGATGAGAAGCGAAACATCTTCAAAGAAAAACAAGAACTAGTCCAGTTGCCTCCTGGGGGAATAAAAGCACCATTGGGACAATCATGACTGAGAATCTCCAGAGACAATAGCACTTAAGACTTATATACTGCTTCACGGTGCTTTTACAGCCCTCTCTAAGTGATTTACAGAGTCAGCCTATTGCCCTCAACAATCTGGGCCCTCATTTTACCCACCTCGGAAGGATGGGAAGGCCGAGTCAACTTTGAGCCTGGTGAGACTCGAACTGCCCAACTGCTGGCAGCCAGCAGTCAGCAGAAGTCATCTGCAGTACTCCATTCTTGCCACTGTGCCACTGTGGCTGGTAATATGATGGCTCTTATTGTTGGATAACAATCTCTTGGCAAAACTGGAGTGTTACAACTTACACCACTCAGGGAGATCTGGGCAAAATTTGTGCAGTTATTGGTGATTGCATGATCAAACCTCCCTCTTTATTTGTGCTTTGCAAAGAATGATGGAGCTTTGTGGTGGTTATGGTTGCCACCTTGACTCTTTTTTTTAAACTACCCCTGGCAGATGCCCCAGGAAAGAATCTTTTGCTTGCCAGTCTGAAGAAGGCACTGTCCCAGAGATTCCTGGGGGTGCATTGGGACAAGGTTTGTAACCTATTGCTTTGCTACAAGGGAATCTAGGTTGAGGAGAGGTACTCCAAGAAGAAGGTTGGGAGGGTGGACGAATGGTCTCACTGCGCTTTTAGAGAAGTCAAGGTCAGACGTCTCTTGAAAAGAGCGGAGTTTGGAAGTTTCATTGGACCATTAAATACTCATTTTTGTGCATTGCTTTATCTCAGCCTTTTTCCCCAATTAAATACGACATTTTTAATGGCTTGTCTGAGCTTTTTGGGTGACTAATAATGCCGATTTCATTCCAATGTGGCCTAATATTGTCCAGCCACTATTTTGTCTATAAATCAGGAATGGAACCGGTTTTTGGAAGAGGCATTTCCTTGAGTCCTTGTGGCTGAGAGCTCACCCAGTTGGCCTTATGCTCAAGACAGGCTAGAACTCATGATGCCCTTCACCACTCCACCAAAGTGTCTCTTCTTTAGGTTTTATAAATTGCTGCTTAAAATGGCTCTGCTGGAGTTTGAGAAACTGCAGGCAGAGAACAGAAACATGTTCAAAAATCTGCATCCGGCTTGGATGTACAAATTTGAAGCGCTGTTGAACCACACTGAGAAGGTTTTCCTTGCTTTTAATAGACAAACTGGAAGCTGGCTTTGCAAGGCAGAAAAGGAACAAAAGCTTGGAATTCAGTCTGGATCATGGTCAGATTTTCCTCCCACTCTGCTTGGACATACCAGCAGGCATGGGAACCTTCCAACAACCTTTTCCAGCAGAGTCTAGACAAAGAACCTCTCAGATCTTCCATCGGAGGCATTTTCTGACCGTTCTTTCTCTCTCGTCTCTTTTTTTTTTGCTAGAAATAAATCCATTGAGGGGCTGTGCAGTTCCTGTGATTTAGTGAAAGCAGGACCTTCTATTTAGATGCAGCCTGAACTGATTTTTTTATTTTATGTTGTTTTCTTATGCCCATCCAATTCCCATGACTCTTAGTGGCTTCGCAGAACTAAAAGAAAAGAGCAGGAATGGAGAGTGGAGCTCTGTGTTTTCACAACACAGGATTCCTTTTTTTTCAACCCTGGATTTCTCCTCTTCTTATCTCTGTTTGGAACTGTGCACCTGAATTCATTCATCCGGTTTGTATCTGGATTGTGTCGGGATCAGCTGCTACTCAAGATAATTGATGCATGGCATCTTCTCTGAGTGCGTGTAATTATTTTTTTGGAATCTTGTGTTAAACAGCTTGGCTAAAGGGGATTAGCTTCCCAAGAATTTCCTCGGGAAACCCTGCAACGGATGATAATGCAGATTTGTACGTCTCACATTTGGGAGAGAGAGGTAGCTGAAATATAGTGATCGTATTCATCGTTTGCTCCTTTTGTAGTGGATGCTTGCCTAGATGTGCCCAGCAAATTCCAATATCATAGCTGCAGCTGAAAGCATTTTGGGGGGCAGGGTGGGGGGAGAGCAGGGGTTTGAAAGAGATATGAGATTGTCTGTGATCACAGAATTGGGGTCCAGCCTCTTTTTGTGGGTGCAACAAAGAAAGCATGGTTTTGACTGCACTGTTGTGGCTACCCTCTTCTCCTCTCCCAAAGCCATTTATATTCCTGGCTTCAGATGGTGAGCATTGTTTTCCAGCATACCTTGATTTGATTTTGCTTAGTTTAGAAGCCACTCACAGCTGTTTATCCAGTTCAGATTCTAACCCAGCATTTCTCAAACTTGGCAACTTTAAGACATGAGGACCAGTGGTGGGATTCAAATTTTTTTACTACCGGCTCTGTGGGTGTGGCTTGGTGGGTGTGACTTGGTGGGCATGGCAGGGGAAGGATACTATAAAATCTGCACTCCTACCCCATTCCTGGGGGAAGGTTACTGCAAAATCCCTTTCCCTCCCCACTCCACCAACCTGCTTTCCAGCTCCATTCTCCTGTGCAGGGCAACCAAAGAAGACCCAGATGATCAGCAGGGACTCAGGAGGCAGAGAATAGATGGGGGCGGGGCCAGTCAGAGGCGGTATTTGCCAGTTCTCTGAACTACTCAAGATTTCCGCTACCGGTTCTCCAGAACTGGTCAGAACCTGCTGAATACCACCTCTGATGTGGACTTCAACTCCCAGAATTCCTCAACCATCATGGAAGTGGGAATTGAAGCTCACATGTTTTAAAAATTGTCAAGTTTGAGACATAATGTCAGGCTTGCTCCAGCTAGGTTCCTGGGAAAGAATGACCCTCGTCTCCATTTGGTTGAAGTGATAGGTTCTTTTACTAAGAGTCAGTGGTTGCAAAGAAGCAGGCTGGAGCTAAAGTCCCCACACAAAAAGGTTACAAACTTTCCCCTTTCCTCTTGGCCCTCCCTTCTTGACGAGCTCATCTTTGACCAATGGCGTGTTGCATAGGTGTTTTGGGAACCACTTGGATGTTTGGTGCAATTCGGATTCCTTTCTCAGGCTCCATGTCCTTGAAGACTGGAACAAGCTGGTTCTCACACCTCTGGTTTCCATCGAGCCTATCTCCCTTTTGGTGCCAATTTCCTATTTCCTCTCCCCTATTTCCTTGAGAGCCGTGGTGGCACAATGGTTAGAATGCAGTACTGCAATTTGCCAGTTCAAATCAAGGTTGACTCAGCCTTCCATCCATCTGAGGTGAGCAAAATGAGGACCCGAATTGTCGGGGGGCAATATACTGACTCTATAAACTGCTCTGAGAGGGCTGTAAAGTACTGTAAAGTGGTATATAAGTCTAAGTGTTATTGCTATTGCTGTTGTCAAGCTGAAGATGGCAGATCTGACACATGCTGTTCTAACCTCTACCATCACACTGACTTGTAAGAACACCTTTGTTGCAAATGAGGAATCCTAGAAACCATTGAAGGGGATGGCTTAAATTCTGATAATGGAGAATTGTGTGCCACACCAACACAATCATGAGGGTCAACAGGTACCTGGCAGAGCAGCCATTTTGTACATGTGCTGACTATAGACTCTCTGAATTCCCTACCAGCTTTTGTCCCAAGATGTTGGCTTCTGCAATACTAAAAGACTCTTGGCCATGCTAAAAATGTTGGCATTAGTGGCCATACGGGTGGGCTGCCATTTGGCAAAGCCTAGAACAGGGATCCCCAAGCATGGCAACTTTAAGACTTGTGGACTTCAACACCCAGAATTCTGGGAGTTGAAGTCCACAAGAGTTAAAGTTGCCAGGTTTGGAGACCTCTGGCCTAGAAACTGCCTTTTTAATGCCTCCATTAGGAGCAGCTGTGTTAAGTCTAGTGCAGGGGAGGCCTCACCTTTGATCTATAATCAATCAACAAATAAAGGAAAACTCCTTCTCTGGCTAGGAACAGTTCTGTATCGAGGTAACTGTGTCTCATTGCTCATTGATCACCATGGTAACCAAAGCACAGTTCACAAAGAAGCCAAATGGGAAAATCTTGGGTATTCCTCATCTGGCTCAACTTCAAGGAAAGGCCTATTGTTTC